AATATGTAATACACGACTTTAAGATGAGGGGTTCTAGGATCATGTATAAATTGACTAACAAGACCTACTGNTGGATCTTCTATCATACTTTTTCCTAGAGCTGACTTAAGATACCTCAATATGTAATACATGACTTTAAGATGAGGGGTTCTAGGATCATGTATAAATTGACTAACAAGACCTACTGCATAAGTGACGTTTGACTGAGTATGTGAGATATATTAATCACTCCACTAGTCTCTAGTATCTCTCTTTCTCTATTACCTTACCATCATTACTACTTAGTAGATGGTTGACTTCAATAGGAGAATCTGTAGGTCTGAATCCCAACATTCCTGTCTCCTCAAGAAGGTCAAGAACATACTTCCTCTGGGACATAAAGATACCTCTGTCTGATTTGGTAACCTCAATTCCAAAGAGATACCTTAGTAGATCCAAGCCTTTGATTTCATACTCCTTGGGCAATTGAGCTTTCAACTTGGTGATTTCATGCGCATTTTTTCAGTTATCACTATGTCATGCACATATACAATAAGAACTGTAATCTTGCTATCTATTTGTCTGACGAACAAGGTATGACCTACCTAAATCTGTTTGTATCCAAATTTTGGCATAGCTTTGAAAAACCTATCAAACCAAGTTCTGGGAGGTTGCTTCAACCTATAAAAAGATTTTTTTAGCTTACCCACTTTCCTTTCAGTCATTGGAGATGAAAAACATGGAGGAATCTCCATGTCCACTTCCTTCTCTAAATCTCCTTAAAGAAAGGTATTCTTTATATCCAACTACTGTAAATTCCACCCCAAATTTACTGCACAAGAGATAAGAGCACGTATAGAGTTTATCTTTGCCACAGGAGTAAAAGTCTTTTGATAATCAACACTATATGTTTGAGTAAATTCCTTAGCAACTAGCTTAGTATTGTGCCTCTCAACAGTCCCATCAACTGCTTGTTTGACGGTAAAAACCCATCTGCACCCTACTGCCCTTACTCTAGGAGGAATGAGAACCAAATTTCATGTGTCATTTTGTTTCAAGGCTTTCATTTCCTCTACCATAACTTCTCTCCGCTTAGAATCAGTGAAAGCTTCTTTCCAACTCTGAGAAATGGACATAGAAGATAAAAGGGAAACAAAAGTACGATAGGATGGAGACAGGAAATCATAAGAGTCAAAATTAGAGATAGGATGGTGAGTACAAGGTCGAACACTCTTTCTGACTGCAATAGGAAGATCAAAGTCATTAACAACTAGATTATTAAGTACAGGAGTAACATCTGAAGGTTCATTACCTGATAAATCAGTGGAGGATGGAACTGGAATTGAGGAATTCGACTAATGTGGTGGCACATGGGCAATATGTACTTTTTGACGCCAATAATAAGTCTTCAAATTATCCTTATGAAGGTGAACACCATGTGGATCACTACCATCACCTTTTTCCTTCATAAGTTGTTGGTTTTTCCGACAAACATTCCACTAGACAGTCAATTGAAGAAGAGGCTCCTAACAAATAATCTTTTCCCCTATAGTGATATTCTCCCCTTGAAGAGATGTCTAGGAGAAGAATTCAAATTCACGAAAGGTAACATGATGCTAACATTACATATATTTTTTGTAACTGCGAATGATAACATTTATACCCTTATTAGGTGACAGAGAAACCAACAAAAACGTATTGCAGAGCCCTGGGATCAAGTTTTTCCCTTGACGGTCTGTGATCATTTACAAAACAAATACCTAAAAATTTAAGGGGAAAGAGAAGAAACTGAAGGAATAGAAAAAAACGCAAAAGACACTTGATGGGATACTTAAACTAAAGAACACTCGAGGGTAGATGATTAATAAGATAAGAAGCAATAAGAATTGTATCCCTTTAGAAAGATGATGGAACATTCATAGTGAATATAAATGAGCAAACAACCTCAAGAAGATGACAATTTTTTCGCTCAGCAACACCATTTTGCTTGGGGGTACTCATACAAGCGGTTTGATATAAGATGCCATTTTCATTGAACGAAAATTTTCATCAATATACTCAGTTCTATTATCACTTCGAAGAATTTTGACTTTGACATTAACTTGAGTACTCACCATTTTATGGAAAGATCTAAAGCATAAGAAAACTTCACCTTTATTGCATAGTAGGTAAATCCAAGTATGACGAAAATAACAATCAATAAAGGTAACAAATCAACGATAGCCAGAAGTAGACACAACACAAGAAGGGCCTTACACATATGAATGAATAATGACAAAATGTGTAGTACTTCTATGATTAGTACGTTTTTGCTTAGCAAATTTACAAGAATTACAAACAAAAGATTGTTTACTACATTGCTTTACTAGATTAGGAAAAAAGATGTTCTAAAATACCAATTGATGGTTGTCCCAAACGTCTATGCCACTAGTGTAAGAGTTGAGGTTGAAACACCATTTGCCTAGAGAGTTTGACAGATAGACTGAGAAAAATCTTTAGCATCCAAGAGGTATAGACCACCATATGTTCTGCCATTGTCAATCTTTTTTCTTGATTTCAGTTCTTGAAAGATATAATTTGTAGGGAAAAAAGTCACTGAACAATTTAAGGATTTGGTGATACTACTAACAGACAATAAATTTGTTGAAAAATTGGGGACATGAAGAACAGATAAAAGCGATAAGATTTTTTTNTAGTAGGGAAAAAAGTCACTGAACAATTTAAGGATTTGGTGATACTACTAACAGACAAAAAATTTGTTGAAAAATTGGGGACATGAAGAACAGATAAAAGCGATAAGATTTTTTTTTTTTTTTGAACAGTGAAAGGAGTAAGGTTGAAGAGCAATTAATTGAATATTTTTCTAAAAATAGAGGATAAAGTTCCATCTGCCAATCTTATATTACCCCTACTTAAACATATAGAATATGAAGGGAAAAAACTAGAGGAACTTGTCATGTGGTCCGTGGCTCCAAAGTCGATTATCTAAAGAGTGTATGGGGATGAAACACTAAATGCACTAGCAGATATACTTGTTTGAGCAAAGTTGGAAGAACAAGAGGAACCATGATTAGAGGAACATCAAGATAAGTCATCATACGTCTAAGAATTTGCATTTTATCTTGAGAAAAAGATGTGGAAGTACCGTCCATGTCCATGGGTAATGTGGATCTACCTTTTTTGCACTCCACATAAAAGATTCGAAGCGAAAAAAACAAAATGCCCAGAAATTGGGTCATTGTTTGATAGGCGAAAAAATCTAGAAAAATTTTTAATAAATAGAAAACCTCACCAAATAGATTCAAAAAAATCCAAGAAAATTACCATAAATATCAGGAAATTTTTTTAAGTCTTCCATGAAATTTCAAAAAATTTTGACATAAACGAGTTGCTGACGTTAGTTACCCAGTTTTATGTCTGATAAATTGCAACGCTTTCCGACAACTCTATAGCTTTAGATTTGGATTGATGCTCTAATACCAATTTGAATTATGATGTAATTAGGGTTATGAGAAGGAGACAAGAAGAAGAGAAGTGAAGAAATTGTGGGAATAGAGTAATGTATTAGGTTACATAGCTACACCCGGCTTTTATATATAATCACAAAGTGCAAAACTTATCTTAGTTTAGAAATAACACTTAACATAATAGTTTAATTTGATTTTGGTTATGAGGGTTTAATTTGTTGCCTATGTTTCTTTGTGGTGTTGTTAGTTGTGTTCAACTGTTTGTTTGTGCTAGTACCGTTGTTTATGGTGCATGCATTATTGTGCTTGTTCTTTGTCGTGATCGTATTCTTTTCCTTTGTGTTGTCATGGTTGCTGTTTGCTATTGTTTATGTTGATGTGGGTTGGTTCTTTAAAAAACCAAAGGGATGCCTTGAATGTCACATGGAGCAATCGTCTGGATTTGTTGCTTAGGGGGAGTATTGTGGTAGTGTATGTCGATTAAAGAAGCCTTTGAATGGTCTGAAGCAGTCACCTAGAGCTTGATTTTATTGTCCTTATTGTCTATGTGGAGATAGATATTACAGTTAACTCAGTGATTTTCACACCAAATCATTGGTGCGGTCTACCTTTAGTAGTTTTTTTTCCAACTTAGACATTTTTGATCTCTATGCTCCAGTTTGAGGTGGAGTGCGCAGGTGTTACTTNTCAACTCAGTGATTTTCACACCAAATCATTGGTGCGGTCTACCTTTAGTAGTTTTTTTTCCAAGTTAGACATTTTTGATCTCTATGCTCCAGTTTGAGGTGGAGTGCGCAGGTGTTACTTTTCTATTGTTTTACTTTCCTATTATGTTCTGCTTTTATAATATTATAATTATCTTCAATATCAATCTAATATAATAGTTGATATGGTGTTAGCAACACACACCCTACAAACAATATTGTTTTGTACTCTCTTTTTTGTTCTTGTCCTTTTCCTTAACCCTAACATACAATTATTTAAGTTTGCAATGAAAACATGTGTAGATCTTTCTCTGCTTTCCTTGAAACATGATTCATAAGATTTCGTNCACTAACATACAATTATTTAAGTTTGAAATCAAAACATGTGTAGATCTTTCTCTGCTTTCCTTGAAACATGATTCATAAGATTTCGTCATACGTATTACCACTAACACCAAAAGAAGGTAGCTCTCTGTTTCTTACTTGACCCTTACCACATTAGCATTTAATTTTGACAATAGGCAGTCATTTATCCATGTTGATGTCATGAATAAAAATATCAATAACAGGATTTATACCCTTCTAAATGTGCTTCCTAACTTAGCACTTGCCTATTAGGGTTTGATCATGATAAAATGCCTTGTATGCGGGTTTGCGATTGAGATGCCTAGCATGTTGGTTTCTTACACCTGCACCATGATTTTTTTTGCCATGACAGACTTGTGCCTCAACAGTATATGAATTAATTTTTTTTGTTTTTATGTAGTTCCCAAATGCCATATATTGTCTTTTGTAATCTAAGCCTCTTTTTGATCTGAACAATTATTTGATCCTACCTGTCTGCTTGAAGGTCAAGAAACTGCAAAGGGAGAAAAGACTAGATGCTATTGTAGACCGCAACCTAAGTAAGAACTACAATATCCAAGAAGTTGAGATGATGATGCAGGTTGCATTGCTCTGCACCCAAGCGTCACCAGAGGACCGTCCCTTGATGTCAGAGGTTGTCCGGATGCTGGAAGGAGAGGGACTCGCTGAGAGGTGGGAAGAATGGCAACATGTTGAAGTTACCCGTAGGCATGAGTACGAGAGACTGCAGAGAAGATTTGACTGGGGAGAAGATTCTATTCATAACCAGGATGCTGTTGAGTTGTCTGGTGGAAGATGAGGTAACAAAATATTTGGTGTTTATAAACCCTAAAATTTTTGGCCTGATCATTGATTGCATAATGTGTCTAAATAGGCTCATACATTTTGCGAGACTAGCTTTCTAGGATTATGTTTTTTCCTTTCTAATTCTTTTAGCAGTCCCAGTTGAAAACTTGCTTCCAAGCCCATTTTACACGACTTTTTCTTTTTTTCGACTATCTGTTTTATGCCTTTCTTATTTGGTGCTTATTAATTACATTGATCGAAACAGCCTCACCATATGTTGGGTGAAATTGTGTATATTTGAGTCTTTTGAGATCCCACATTGGTGGGAGTCTCGAGCACGAAGTCTACCATTTATTGATTAAATTCCTTCAGGTACCTTAACGCAATTTAGAGAAAGATAACACTTTACTACCGGAGTAGTGACGTTCTATGTTTTGATTGGTAAGCTTCAAAAAAGTATTTTCTTTTTGTTGGGTGGGGTGGGGGGTGGTTTACGCTTTTTCTGACTTCTTACTTGTTTTCCAGGAGCCAAATGAACTATGGGGTTCAATGGCTTGCTTGTATGACTTTAAAGTTTATGCAGTTGGCACATTGCCAGAGCATCATCAATTGCCATCCCTCCCATCCTGAGATGAAAGTACTTTTCAGGAGTATTGCTACTTGGACTCCAAAAGTTAAGACACCATTTATTAATTATATCTATTACTCTCATTGATTTAATTCTGGGTTTTAGCAAATGGTGTCAACTTTCGGAGTCCAAATAACATTTTCCTTCGAGGAGTATTCTCCAACTCGGGTGAGAGGTTGAGAGTTCAACCTAAGTTATAAAGTCTATGTGCTGATTTAACCCAAATCCAATTAGATTACTACCCAGTCTTAAATTTCTAAATTCAGGCTACACATCTGTTGAAACCAGATTCAATTCGGGTGTAATTTTGGGTTACACAATTAGGGATGATATTTGATTTCAATTTGGGTTTGGTTCTTAGCTTACACAATTCCGATTGAATTGGAGTTCAACCTGAATTTTGAGTTGGGTCTTAAAAACAAGCGACCCCAACCCGATTGTGTCAACAGTTTTTTTTTTGGTTCAAGCTTAACCCGAGTATTGAAAGTCTTATGTCCGAACTCCAAACACTGATTTTATCATGTTATTGTTGGTTCAGATTGAAAAGTTGCACTCCTCTCTTTCTCTCTCCCCCTCTCCCTCTCTCTCTCTCTCACACCCCTCCCCCAAAAAAAAAAAACCCAGTGGAGCTATGCACATTAGCAGTTGCCATAGACTTATGTTATTAACCCGATAGTTCAAGTAATAATACGGATGAATTGTAAATTTAGACTTTCTGAATTCAAATCTTGACAACCCTTTGGAGTCAGGTTATGAGAAATTTATTCCTTATTATTCATTAATACCCCCGGCGTGGATGCTCTGAGTTTGATTGGATCGAAGAAGGAATTAGTTGAATTACGTGTAAGTTAGTTTGGACACCCATGATGGTTGAACCAAAAAAAAAAGAAAAAGAAAAAAGACTTGCGTTATTGGGTCATAAATAATGCATTATTACTGTTAGATTAATTGTGAAGTGCATTTATTGTTGGGATCTATTGATAATCTAATGACAACAATAATAAGGTCTCAACATTATGTCCTAATAAAATTGCTCTTTGCCACAAGCATTAAGAAAATTGATTTTTCGTTAAAATAATGCTAATGTTTAGGAAGGGTGTATCGACATCTTTTGTAATCTACATATCCAAATTGTATTGTGTATAACTCGTGTACGTTGTTTTTAATCGAATTTGTGACTAGCTATATTTGATGGGTTTAACTAGTTCATCTATTTACCTATCGAACTCGTTAGGGCTACCCCTTAACACCGTTAATTCCATGTGGATTTGAAGTCAAGTTTACGGTGTAGAATTTCTAGGCCAACTCCTAATATAATTGGGGTTTTTTTTTTTTTCATTTTTTACACCCTGAAAAATGTTAAAGATTTCATTTTATATCCTAAAAGATAATTTTTTATTCACATTACACTATAATTGTCATAAATTAGTTGCAATGTGGCCCCTTAGACCAACATTAGTCTTTTTTTTCCGTTAAATCTCGCTGCAAATGCAACACACATGTTTTGCCCATGGGAAAAACTGTAGAAACACCTAAGACATCTTCATGGGATTTCTGTACTTGTGATACCCATTTTCCTCTCTTGTGAATTTCATCGGGTTTGGCTTCCCCTTAAGTTTAATCTACCACTCTCTATAAGCATCGGGTACAATCACTTTTTATAAGAGCTCGCTTTTTCAAAAAACAAGTTTTTATCGTTTTTTATGAATTATTGCATTATCACTCTATTAAAGAACCCTTGCGCCCAAACCCCCGCGTCTTACTCTTCTTTTTTTTTCCAGAGTTGTGTTTCCATGACTTGTAATTCAAGACCCTATCACTTTTGTTAAGAGTCATCATTAATACTAACACGCTGCACAATTTCTTCGAGAGTTCACACAGGATTGTCAAGCATGACTTGACTTTAATACTACTTGTTGGTTTTGCACAAGGATATGTTAATCAATATTGATACCACTTGTTGGCAGAATGGAGTCCAGTGATCCAACGCCCAATATACATGTTTAGAACTAATACCACTTAAAAGCTTAAGCATATGGGTAATGAGTCCATCCATTGTATACCCGGACACTTTCACTTCTTTCTCTACCTAATGTGTTATTCCCACACATGTAATACCAAACATACAGTGATCATTATGTGTAGACTTTGGCGTGCAAGAGAGGTTGAGGCTAACCCCACCTATAATCCTGTTAGTCTTGACTCTTGATGATAAAACGTTAATTTGGTGGATGGGGTTGCTTTCCATGAAAATTGTGGAGGAAAGCAATTTAGGGGGTAAGATTTTGAAAGATGTTCTTGATGAGCCCACTGGTAGAAACAATATAAAGTGCTGAAACATATACTTGTATTAAAAATGTTCTCCATGAAACACGTTTATTAACACAGAAGATTGGTATTACAATGACACGAGTCTCATGCCAAAACATACTGTTCATCAATGGCGGATCTACACCTACTGGAATTTTTCAAAATTATTGGGGGCGTAAGTATAATTTTAAAAATTTTAAAAATTATTAGAGATTTGCCTTTATTAATTTTTTTTTTAAAATTTTATAAATAGTTATGATATTTTGACAAATATATGGGTCTCTATTATATATGTCAAAAAAATTCCTTTAAAAGGGCTAAATGCTTCTTTTCACCCATTTGTCCTGTGGTTCACCACTTCACCTTCGAAAGCTCCAAGCCTAAAGCTTTCAACACGAACACGAAATTGGGGTTGTAAGCTTTTTTTGTATAGAGCTTGTGCATATGAGTTGCGACTTTAATTGACGTTTTATTAATAAAATTATATTTTTGTAAACATTAATAATTTTAACGTTCATATGATTTAGGTTGTCCCCACCGAAAGAGTAATCTGGCTGCGCCCCTGCTGTTCGGTAAGTGATTAAAAATTAAACTGAATAGTATAAACGGATTACAATGATATGGGGTCTCATACCAAAAAATTAAATTAAGGGTAAATTGCATTTACACCCCTTGAAATATCACACATTTTCCATTTTATCCCATGAACTACCAAAATTTTCACATTATACCCTAAACTAACATTGCTGTTTCACATTGCCCTAATCGCTAACTACCGTCACAAAAGTTTTAAATGATGTACAAAAATTTTAACTTGAACCATAAAAATTGTAATATGACCTCAAATGTTATAAATTTTTTTCTTATAAAATAACCTAATAAAAATTGTAAAAACACACCTAAAATTATAAATTTTAAAGGTATGGTATCGAATTTTTTTTTCCCGGTACCATAGTCTTGTCCAATGTTGCACTTCTACCCGTAACGGATTTTTTTATATTAATTCTCCACCTGTCGTCCTTTTTTTTATGTAAAAAAAACGCAATGACAAAAATTGGGAAGATCACAATTTTCTATGGTTAGATGGTGCAGTTTAATTTATACAATACCTTTTAATGGATCAGAGACACGGAATCAGGAAAATCCAATTAAAAATGAACTATTAGCTGTAGATATTAAAAATCATATATTAAAATAATTTAATTATCTACGTGATTGCAAATGCAAAACTAGTAGAGCACGAAGTCAAAGATACCATATTTGACATCAGGGGTATCCATGGCCCAGGCCAGGCTAGTCCGCAAATTTTTTTTTTTGGCCTGGTTTGAATGGTGTAGGCTAAAATTCTTACCCAAGTGAGTTATCAAACGGATCGGGTCGGACTTCGGGTAGGGATAAACTATCCTCGACTCAACTTGCGAGTCTATTGGGCGGGTCTGTTCATGAGTTTTTTTATATATAACTTTATTTAAAAATAATGAATATTTTTGTAACTTAATATATGTGAAAATAATATTTTTAAATAAAAAATAGAGTTAAAATGAATAAAAATAAAATAATAAATAATTTTATTTTTAATTAGGGAATGAACTATATCCAATAGAATGAATATATCCTAACTAGGTTGACATTTACTTATTTATCTATCATTTACATTACTCTACCCTTTAAAATTTGTATACTTAATACATGAAAAATAAAATAATATATTATTTATAATATCTAAATTTTTAAAATTTTAAATTATGACATTGGGAAACTTATTTCAAAGTTTCATTATTTGTAATATAACGTTTACATTATATATATACAGGTTGAACTTGGTCTTCAACATGAGAATGAAAAGTTTAAGCTCAAGTTCAATTCTTCTGACGCTGATAAATAAAAAAGTTTATAAAATAATGTGACATAATCATAATTATTGAAGCACGAAGATTAGTCAAAGTTAATATGGGAGGTGCTAATTCAACCACCCATGCACATTGATTTGATAAAACAAATTCGGTAAATATTTTGAAAAATATAGCGTTGTTGATTGATTTAATCAGTTGAACCATATCACGCTAAGCCAGATGGAACAAAAAAGTTACAAAGTCGAGGATGAATAAGATGTTTAAAGCTAATCATACTATCGAACACGTCTCGTAAACAAGCGCCGTAGCCAAACAATTTGGTGCTTGACTCAGTTCAGTTTATTTACGCACGCATCTACATATATACATAACAAAAATAGTTTATATCGATTTAGCGATCTGCAGTTGATAGTACTAGTTCAATGCAGTGGATCATGCACGACTGCAGTGATGAAGTTTGTATCAAGATACTAAAAAATTGCCGAGAAGCAATACCAAAAAAAACAGGGAAGATTGTAATTGTCGATGTGGTTTTGCAGCTGGGCAGTTATGGTCCATTTGACAAGGTAGGCTTGATGTTTGATCTGGTGAT